ATCCTGGGCTCAGAACCCAAATTAGCCACAAGCCAAGGAACACCAGGAGCCCCCAGAAGCTGGGAGAAGTGGGAAGGATCCTCCCCTGGAGCCTGCGGAGGGAGAACGTCTCCGAGACACCTTGCCTTACAACTTTTGGCCTCCAGACTGCGAGAGAATGAATTTCTGGGTTAAGCCCCCAGGCTGTGGTCCTTTTTTAGGAGAGCCCTTGGAAGCTAACATTCTACCTTAAATAATGGTTATCATGGTACTCTCCAACATGGACAGTTACTGTCTCATGTAGAATATGAACACTGCATCTTTACATCTTTTGGTGCTCTTCTTGGTTTGTAATATACAAAGGAAACCTTGTATACTCAAGACAGCCCCCCCGGTTCCCCCAGGAATGCAATGCCAGCTCTCCGGGAAGCAGTGATGCTCGGGTGCCTCCGGCCAGGGTCTCCCTCTATCTGTGACGCCGTGCGGGCCCGTCAGCTGGCCACGGGGTGGCCGGGGCTTGGCCAGCTGGGCCAGGCTGGGCTGGTGGCTCACCCAACCCACTCCGGGGCGGAGCTCGTGCTGGCCAGTGTCCGTCCAGCCAGCGGTGGCCCCTCTGGCGGTGGTCACGATGTCACCTGGAGGAGGGACACTGGCTCAGCCTGGTGGGATCCCTCCACTTAGTCAGCCTGTATACTCATGGGGCCACTCACTGCTGGAGGCAGAGGTGTGGGCAGACGCGGAGGCCCAGCTGGAGGCCCAGCTGGAGGCCCTGGAGGAGCTGGGGCTGCCTGAGAGCTTACTGGAGGAGGGGTCCCAAGGCCAGTCCTGAGGATGGAGAGAGATGGGATGAAGAGCAGCCTGGGGGAGGCCTGGGGGCAGAATGACCTGAGCTCTGAGGAGCCACGAGGTCGGCCTGACCAGCAGAGGGGCTGGGGCTGGGGGCTGGCAGGCGCCATTGTGGCGGGGGTGCGGGATAGGGCACACAAAACCCACCAGGAAGGAACTTTCTGTAAATCAGGAGTAAATGGTGTTTGTGAGGACGAGGCGCCAGCTCCCTTACAGAGGCAGGGTCCCCAGAGCACCCTTCCCGCTCTTCTCAGGAAAGCAAGATTTACAATAATGCAAAGTGCATTAGTGCGGCGGGGGCGGGAGGGGGTCTGGTCCCACCAGCTGGCGGCTGGGCTTCCTGACTGGCCTTTGTGTTGGCAGCGGGGCTGCGGTCGGTCGATGCCTTGGCTGACGGCTATTTAGAGCTGCCCAGGGTTGTGACAGAGGGGCGGCGCTAATGGGGGGCTGGGAGCGGGCAGAGGCTGCCCCCCACACCCCGTGCCAGTGCGCCCTCCCTCCATGGGCCTGCCTGGTTGGGGGAGAGGTCTTCCCCGCTCCTCGGAGGCCACATTTGACCTTACCTTACCCACAAAGAACACCCCAAGTCCCAGGAAGCTCCTTGCCCTTCTTGGGGGACCCAGAGGGTGGACGTTAGCTGGGTTCGTGGTCATGAGGCGCCCAGGTGCAAGGCAGGCAGAGACTGGGTCTCTGATGGGCTGGTGGGGTCAGGCCCGTCCAATCCCTCGCTAACTCCCAGAGCTCCGGGCACACCCTGGGTGCTCACAGGGTCTTAGAAAACCAGCATGACTCACTGCCATTGGCGGGCGAGCGTCACCAAGTGCAGGGGGGAGCCCCACCTGGATTCCATTGCCCACCTACCTCCCAGAGGTTCCCGGGCTGAGCAGACTTGGGCCTATGGGGAGAGAGACGGAGGGCTCCGGCCTTGGCCAGGCCCACTTAAGGGTCTCCCCTTGGCCTCCGACAGGCTCAGGGCCTGGGACAGGGGCCTCCCTGTGACCCCCATGGCCCCTGCGCTGTGGCCCTCCAGGATGGTCTCCAGGATGGAGGCCTGAACGGTGGTCCCCCCCATCTCTGGGAGCACCTAGAGTTCAGAGGGCAGCAACTGAGCCCCTGCCTCCTGGGGTCCCTGTCACTGTTGGGACACTGTGTCTGCACTGACCTCTGGAGCCCCAGCTGGCCAGCCCAGGCCGGAGATCCGTGTCCCAGCTTGCCTCGGCTTGCCTGCCTGGGAAGGAACAACACCCAGGAGCTAAATTTCCACCTGAGGCTGCTTCCCACAGCCACAGAGATCAAGAATCGAGGAGCTGAAGCAGGGAGGCGCACATTACCTGGGGACCGTGCCTTCCACCCTGGCCCCCGAGCTTGGAAAACCAGGCAGGGCTGGGGGCCGTCAGTGGAGTGTGCACATGAGCCGGAGCAGGGCAGCGGGTGCAGGGCTGGGGGGCTTTGTGGGAAGGATGGGTGTGCCGGTGCGGGGAGGCCAGGGAGTGAGAGGTCGGCAAGATGGGAAGGGTTACAGATGACCCCTTGGCTAGGCCCTGTGGTGACCTTGCCCTTCTCCTCCAAGCACTTAACCAGCCGCTTGCTCCTTCTTGGAGACTCTGAGTGGCCCTGGTTCTCAGCTAAGCGGCTCCACGCCACGTCCACCACTCCCGCGAGGGCCTTTGGGGCTTGGTGTGCCGTCCAGCCGACGTCCTCTGTCTATTTTCAGGTCCTCTTTGGGCTAAGTGCTGGGTGGAGCCGGGCCTCCAGCCTCCCGCCGCAGCCCTGGAGGGGCTACAATGGGGCTGTTTGCATCCTTTCTGGGGCCACTGGTCTCCTGGCGCCGCCTCGGGCCTGACATCCCTTCAGACGCACTTGGGATGCCCTTGGCCAAGGACACTGGGCTGGGGGTGTGTGGGCGCCGTCTCCTCTTTCTTGCTGGAAAGGTGTTGTCTTGGAGAGAAGAGAACCCTTTCTCTCAGGATCTCCCACAGGAAAAGCAATGCCCCGTCCAGGGTAGGGTCTCCCCGCCTCTGTGCACTGGGGCCCAGGGCTGGCTTCTACCCACTGGATGCCAGCGGCACCCCTTCGCCTGGCGTTGTGACAACCAAAAATGCTTCTAGACGTTGCCAAGGGTCCCCGGGGCAGAGTCACCCCCAGCTGAGAGCTGCTGCTGCAGGGGGAGCATGAGGTGGTCCCATGGGGCTTGACCACAGAAAGGTGATGGGAGGGTCCCTTGGGGTCCCCGGTGTGGGGATGTTTGGGGACTGGGGACCCCCCAGTCACACTGCATGTGAGACCCTGACTCCTCTTGTCTGACGGAGGGCGTAGTGCAGCCCAGCCCAATAGGCATCGGGCCCAGACCCCACTGCCAGCGCCTCGGGGTTACGGGAGGAGGGTCAGACTTCACCCACCTCCCTAATGGGTCCCAGAATCCCCCAGCACTGAGAAGACAGGAGCCCCTGGCACACCGTGGCCTGCAGCCTGCCATGTAGAGGGCTAGACACCTCACTGTAGTTACCCCACAGCCAGAGAAGCAGACCATGGCTCCATTTTGCAGACAAGGCACAGACAGCTTAGGGGTTCGCCAGAAGCCACAGAGCGCTCAGGCGGGATGAGGGTTCACCCGGGAGGCCTGACTTTAGGGCAGCTCCGTGCCCTTGACCAGAGCCTCCAGAGGGGCCGGAGGAGAGGGAGGGGTGGGCGGGAGGCAGGGGCTGGGTGGAGAGTATGCATTCTGCACCGGTCCTCTGTGTCTGCCCTCCAAATGACCCCGGGCTCTTATCTGGAGCCTGCACACCCCTAATCGGCCCGATTGCCGACAGAGGCATTTCCAGATGCTGCTGCTGGAGACTCTTAACATCAGAAGCGGCTCCCTCGCCGACACTCCACCGGGACGGCCCAAGGTCGCTGGGGCCAAACTTGCGGGGTGCAGAGAACTGGGGGTGGGGAGTGTGGCTGCCTCAGGGGGCTGGCCAGGAGGGGCGGGGGTGCCGGGGCAGGCCAGCCGAGGTCAGAGTCGGGGGGGGCAGGCATCCCTGCTGCAGCCCGGGCTCCTCTGTGCAGTGGGGGAAAGGGGGCCCCCCGACACCCCTTCCAGGCCCCGGTCCCCTGGATCTCAGGGTCTGCAGCTTACGACTGGCCCAGGATGTGTTACTGCTGTGTGGCCCCAGGCCGCCCCAGGACCCCATACATCTTTCTTCCTGGGGCTGCAGAGGCATAAGATGGGGAGGGGTGTGTGAGCAGCCCCTGAGACCTGCAGAACGTCAGGGCATCCAGGACAGCCAGCGCTGAGGCCCGAGACACAGGGCTCAGACAGGGTTCGGGCCCGAACACTAACAGTGTCAAAATGGCCCTTCTGTCCCCAAGATGGGGCCTGACCTCACCAATACCCCGAAAGGCCTCAGCCCAACCCCAAGCTGCCTGGACCCCTCCTTGGGCCAGCCCCACTCTCCATCGCCCCGTCCATCCTCGCTCCCAGGAAAAGGCCTGCGAGTCCTGTTATTCTTGTTACAGAGGCAGCAAGAGGCTCCCGCAAAGTCCCCCAGTCGGTGGGGGGCTCGGCGGACCCTGGACCTGCTCACGACCCAACGTCCAACACCCCCGCTGCCTCCACCATGACGCCACATCTGCCACCCCAGGACCAGGGCCTCCAGGACGGGGATGTGACCATCGCTGGTCAGTCCAGTCACTTCCACGGGGGTCTGCTGGGCCCAGCCTGGCTACGGGGTGACCGGGCAAAGGCGCCAGAGCCTGCAGTCCTTCTGAGGCCAGCAGAGCCCCCCGGTAGTGGACACCAGCCTGGGGTTGAGGTGCCTGGACACAGGGCAGGCAGTGCTCCCCCAGGCTCCCTGCCTGGCCCACCGGCTTCCACCTGTTCAGCCTGTAGGAGGCTACGAAGTTAGGGACCATCCTAAGACCCTCACTTCTGACCCCACTGCAAGCCCAGAGGTCCCCAAGACCACCCTGATGTTCCATGATTCTCCAGAAGGGCGCACAGCCCCATGATGCTCACGGGCGCGGTTTGCCTTGGGGACAGAGCACTGGTGGACAAGGGCCAGGGTGCGGGCCCCCTGGGGCAGGGTCCAGGCACCAGACACCAGAGCCCTTGTTGCCCCCACCCCCCACGGAGCCAGCACACCTTCCCCCCTGGCACAGACTGTGAGGGCACACAGGCAGTGCCAGCTGGGGGTGCTCCCCGAGCCGTGTCCAGGGATTTTACTGGGGATGTGGCGAGGTGGGGGAGCCCCGTGGGTGGGCAGGCAGGAGAGCCCTGCGGGAGCCTCTCCAAGACTGTGCAGCTTGAGTGCTGCATCTGAGGCCACGTCCCAGCACCCCAATACTGCCTGGGGTCTGAGAGTCAGGAGATGCCCTGACCTCACTAAGCCTCAGTTTCCTCGCCCTTAAAAGGGCTGGTTGGGAGGTAGGTTAAATCCTGCCCTGCCCATGGCAGGACCACACGTGTGTCCACTCCAGCTGGGCGTTGGGGCCCAGGTGATGGAGCTTCTACGAGTTCTGAAAAGCTCACCAGTAATGATGGGGCAGGGGTGGTGAAGAGGAACGCGAGTGCAGGGGGCCTGTGACCCCTGCATGTGCCTTGTGGCCACTGAGCTCCAGGGCTGGGTGGGGGCTGGGCTGGGCACCCTCTGCCCACCCTCCCACACTCAGCCCAAGCGCAAGCGGCCTCGAGGCGTCAGCCTGTTCCTGGCTCTGCAAAATCTCTCCTAAATCCTGTATTTAATTTTGTTCTCTGGGAAATTGTAGGAGGTTTTGGAGATAAAGCTGAGCTGATAAATCAGGGATTTGGCTGTTCTTGCAAAAACTCTTGGACTGCGAGGTGGGAGGCAGGCCCAGGATGCCTAAGTCAGCCGGGTCTGGCTTAGGAGTCCCCCCTCGGAGCACCCACAGGGCCCCCCTCAACAGGACTGAAGAGAGTCTACAGCTGGGTCAGCAGTCTCCCCAGGGTGATGGGCATGAAGGACACCAGGGTGAGCAGGACACACATGGGGGTCAGACCCCAAGGAGCACCCCCAAGGCGCTGTTAGAAGGTGGGTCCACGCACTTCAAGAGCTTGAGGGGCTGAATTACGTGGGGGAGGGTGTTGCTGATGCTCAGCCATCCCTTGAACCCTCTTCTCAAAGTTGTGCTTCCAAAGACCCTTTCCCTGGGGGGTGTGGTGTCAGTCCCTGCCCTCGCTGGCTGCTCTGCCCTGGGCATGCCCCACTTAGCCAACACTGCCACCCCTGAATAGTCTCTTCCAACCTCCCACACAAGTTGTGGCCAGTGTAGAGTGGAGTAGTAGGATGATAACCTCCCTCATTTGGGAATATATACCTCTTTTAATGTGACCCTGAATGACATTTTGTTTGTCAGCCTTGAAACCTATTGGCTGATGTCCACCAGGGGCCTCAGAAATCCTGGTGGGTAGGGCAGTTCTTGTCTGGTTTGCTCATTATTATTGGATTCGTCTTTTTAATGGGAGTGGTGTTCAGCAAGCGGGCAGGTGATGGCTCGAACCCAAGAGTGTGCTCTGTGTTGTGAGCTGCCCACGTGGCCCCCTTGTCCTCCCTTTGCCTCTCACCTTTCCCTTGCATACACCTCTAGCTGGTTTCTTGCATTTCCTTAGCTGGGTCTGAGTTCCTTTTACTCCAACAAAGGTTTGTGAATGCTGGGATGTGTCCCTGTCTCTGGACTACTGAAGGCAGAGGAAGGAGGAGGCCCGAGCCAGTTCTGAGACCGCAGGAGGCAATCAGGGCAGACTTCCTGGGGGAGGGGTGAATTAGAAGGAAGGGTGTTGGAGAGCATTCCAGGATGGGTGTGGATGTGGGGAGGGTGGGTGTGCTGAAGCCTGGGATGACCCAAGTCCTGGCTGGGCCAGGTTTTGCAGTAGTGACAGAGGTCTGGTCATCTTGGTGGCTTCCCACAGCAAAGGTATTTCAGGTCCCTGGTGGGCCATCCAGGGCCTGCCCCATGCCATCCTCACTCAGGGACACACCACCAGCCACCTAGCAGGGGCAGGGCAGGTGGAGAAGCGGCGCCAGCTCTTTAATGCTCTGCCCGTGAGTGACTCGGGTTCCTTCTGCTCCCCTGTCATTGACCAGAGTGGGGCCCAGGGCTTCACCTAGCTTCAGGGGGCTGCTGGGGGCCCCCTGTCCACAGGCTGTTGCTGAACAGAGGATGCCGGGCACTCGGGGTCTGGCTCCAGCCAGGAGAAGAAAACCCCTGCTGTCCAGGTGGGTGCACTGGGCCCACCCCTAACCTCAGAGCCTGCAGGTTCCCCCACTGAGAAGCAGTGCCAGGGGGGGCATGCCCTGGAGGAACAGACATCTGGGGTGGAACACAGCCTTTGGCCCCTGAAGTCAGAGAGTGCGAGAAGCCTGGCGGCCCCAGGAGGAAACCTTTCTGGAAAGAGACATGATTTAAAATCTTCCTTGAAATTCCTGCTGTGACCTTTCTCCTAACATTGCCTCTGGAGATGGAAGTGAAGTGACCCATGGCAGCTGAGCCTGGACAGCGGCAAGTCTGCTGCCCAGGGGCTGTCCCTGGACCCTCTGCTCCTGAGCAGCTGCAGACCCCCATTCCCAGAAGGCTGAGGAATTAAAAGAAGGGCAGGGGCCGGCTGTCCAGAGATGCCCCAGCAGCTGCCCTGGGAGAAGGTTCTAGAGTTGTCCAGTCCAGATGGATGCCAGCTGTGCGGCCTTGCCAGAGCGACTGCTCCTCTCTGGGCCTTGGTCTCCTCATCTGTAAACGGGACCCAGCGGCACTCAGGGTGACTGTCCAGCAGATGCTGGGGCGGGGCCACCGGAGGCCACAGGAGTGGGGGTCAGCAGGAACAGGCCGGCATAAGTGAGAGTGGGGTGTGCGGCTCTGGACCCCATGGCTCCCCCAAAATTCCACCAGCCGGCATGCTCGAGGGACGTTCCTCAGAGCCCGAGGGTGGGAGTCCCGGGTCTCGGTGGGCCACACACTCCTGCAGAGGACGAGGTGGAGTGGACAGACAGGGACAGAGCCCAAGGACTGGGGACACCGGCAATCCAGAGCCCCCAGGAGAGACACGGAGCCGGTGGGCCCGGCGCAGGTCCTTCCTGCAGCGTCTGCCCGAAGGCCTCCCTCAACGGAGCGAGGTGCTGCATCCGAGGCTGGTCCCCTTCTCCCCAGGGGCAAGGCGCACGTGCACAGGACAGGGTGCAAGCCGCCTGAGTGTCGCATGTCGGGGGCGTTGGATGGAGACACCTGGTGGGGATGGTGACTCTGTGAGCTGCTTGGCGTCCCCCAGCTGTCATTCCTCTGTCATTCTGCGGGGTGGGCGGATGGAGTCCAGGCCCACTAGACAGTGGATGGAGGACCCCAGGAACTCATCTCTCGTGGGAGCCCATGGAGACCAGGGCAAGTCCTCCCTTTGTGCCGCCTCCTCCTCGGGAAGGCCAGGGCTTTTCCCAGCTGCCTGGCCTCTGTCCAGCTCCTGTGGGCTGACTCCAGGTCCCACTCCCTTGCCTGCTGTGTGCTGGCATCCTTGCAGTGGGCGGTGTGAACTCTCCCAGGCCTCACGGACAGCCTACCCATTCCGGTTCCAGGCTTCTCCCTCACAACCTGACACATGGCTGCTTGAACTCCTCCACGGATGGGGAGTTCACGCTCTGTGGGAAGCACAACCTTGTAGCACCATGCTATGATTAAGTCACCCCACGTCTCAGGGCCCTCTGTTTCATGAACACATCTCAGGCATTGCTCATCTGTGTCCAGATCCCAGACACTCGTGTCCTTGGAACTGAATCTTCCTTGTGGCTCCACCAGCCCAATTGTTGGATACACTGCTTCTTTCCACTTTGTTCTGATTATAAATTTCAGTGCTGTGCAGCTTGGTACAAGTGACTTTTTTCTTTTTTTTAAAGATTCCCCTTTATTTGCAATTCTTTCCTAGGACTGGATTTCAAGGGCTGGAATTGCCGTGTCAGGTGCAGGAATGGCTCTCGACATCACCTGCCAAACTGCTCCCAGAAAAGCTGACCCAGCTGGCCGGGCCCACAGGACAGACAAAGGTGGGTTTCTCCGCAGCCCGGCCCGCACTGGGTTTCAAACTGCTGTCGTTTCCCCTGGTTCGATGGGGGTGTGCTGGTGGCGGGAAGTCCTTCAGGTTTCTATTATTTTCAAGTGGTGTCTGGGTAATGAAAACAATAACACACTCCAAAGGATGGAAAGCAGTGTTCAAATAAAAACCTGATGCCCACGTTCACAGCAGCACTGTTAACAAAAGCTGAAAGGTGGAAACAGCCCAAAGGTCCACCAACTGAAGATGATAAACACAAGGAGATAGAGCCACGTGGTGGAGTATTACTCAGCCGTGAAAAGGAGTGAAGCACTGACACAGGCTACAACCTGGATGCACCCCGAAAACAGCTTGTGCAGCAAAAGGAGCCAGATGCCAAAGGACAAATACCTATGATTCCATTTACCGGAAACATCCAGAACAGGGAACTCCACAGAGACAGACGGAGACTGGGGGCTGCTGGGGGCTGGGGGAAGGGGGTGGGGAGTGAGTGCTCATGGGGACAGGGCTTCCATCTGGGGTGACAAAAAAGTTCTGGAACTGGATGAAGGTGGTACTTGCACAGCCTTGTGAATGTGTTCAATGCTGCCAACTTGTACACTTTAAAATGGTAAACATGGTAAATTTTCTGTTATGTGTGTTATACACAATAAAGAAGCAGTGACAGTAGTAACAAACACTCCTTCAGGGCTTGCTCTGTGCCAGGCACGGTTCTTACCTCCAGCGGTGGCTCGTTACTGCGATTTACAGATGCGGACAGGCTCTCCTGGGTCACCTCACTGGCGGGCACCCATCCGCGCCTCGTTCCTTAGGTCCCTGCAGCTCCGTCCCGCTCCTCTTCCTTGGGCAGAAGTTTCTCTGTAAAGCCATTTCAATAAGTATTCGCCTGTCTGTCCTGCGCCCAGTGATTCCTCCTCTTCCGTCAAGAGCCAGACATCCACATGCCTCCTGCAGTTGGGTTCTACACGCTATCTCGTCTGTTCTGGAGTTTTAAAGCTTCTTCTAAAACCTGTTTAGGAGAACAGGAGACAAGATGGCAGAGTAGAAGGACCTGAGCTCCTCTCATGATCACACCAAAATCACAACTAACTGCTGAACAACCATCGATCAAAAAGGCTGGAACCTACGAAAAAAGATATTGTACATCCAAAGACAAAGAAGAAACCACAACGAGATGAGATGGCACAACCCTTTATGAATGACGTAGCCATTGTGGTTATGACTATAAACTGGTTAGAACCAATTAGGCCCAAGTTGGCAGAAGATTCGACCTCCAGTAGACCTTGAGCCTCATTATATGCTCATCGTAATACATTAGCTAAATGACAGCCCCACAGGTGCCAGGACAATTCTGAGGCTGACCATCAAAGGCCAAAAAGTGGGCGGTGGCCCAATTCCTGGAAATCCCCACCCCTTCCCAGTTGGAATAATCCTCCCAGTCATTAGCCTATGAAACTACCCAGCCCGTAAAAACGAACCGCATTGTATTTCTGGGCCTCTCGCCTTATGAGATGGTCCACAATCTGTCTGCAGAGTGTGTTTCTCTCAGGGCCAGCTGCTCTCACTTTCCAAGAGGACCCCATGCTCTGGAGCTGCTCTCACCTTTTGAGACAGACCGCATTCTGTCTATGGAATGTGTATCTCTATAAATAAATCCACTTCTTACCTATCACTTTGCCTCTCGCTGAATTCCTTCTGTGCTGAGACATAAAGAACCTGAGCTTCATTAAGTCCTGAGACCAGGTGTGTGTCAATTAAAAGACAGTGGTTTGAGTCCCAGCCTGTGGGTTCAAGTCCCAATCTGGGTTTTGGCTGGGTTCAAATCCCACGTGAGTTGTATGGTTTCAGTAGGAGGGGGCACTCACCATATAATCAAGTCCCATACCTGCCAGGTGGGTGACCCACAAACTGGAGAATAATTATATAGCAGAAATTCTCCCACAGGAGTGAGAGTTCTAAGCTCCCCCAGGCTCCCCAGCCTGGGGGTCTGGCATCCGGAGAAGGAGCCCCCAGAGCATTTGACTCTGAAGGCCAGCGGGGCTTGATCGCAGGAGCTCCACAGGACTGGAGGGCGCACACACCCTTGGAGGGCACACACAAGGTCTCCTGCACCAGGACCCAGGCAGTGACTCCGCAGGAGCCTGGGAGGGACCTACCTGCTGGTCTTGGAGGGTCTCCTGGGGAGGTGGGGGCAGCTGTGGCTCTCTCTGGGGTCACAAAAACTGGTGACGGAAATGTCCGGAGCGTTAAACTCTCGCTGGAGGCAGATCTCTTGCTTGGGTCATAGCACCAAGACCTGGCCCCACCCAACAGCCTGTAGGCTCCGGAGCTGCGACACCGCAGGCCAAACACCAACAGGTCGAGAACACAACCCCACCTATCAGCAGACTGGCTCCCTAAGACTTCCTGAGCCCAGAGCCACCTCTAGACACGCCCCTTGACCTGCCCTACCCACCAGCTCCTCCCACCAGTGGGCAGGCACTGGGCCCACCCCCCAGGAAGCCGGCCTAAGCCTCTACACCAGCCTCACCCACCTGGGGGCAGAAGCCAGAAGCCAGAAAGCTAGAATCCGGCAGCTTGCAGAGCAAATCCACAAACACAGCCCAGAACCTACCCTGGGACCCGCTGGCCCCTGGGTGATGAGAGGGGGCATGCACTGCGGGGGCACACAGGACGTCCCCTACGGAGGGCCAGTTCTCCAAGGTCGAGAGGCATAACTAACCTTCCACATACATAAAAATAAAACCCATTTAGCTTGGACATGTGTGCAGTTAGGTCTGGAGAGCAGGGTTCCTGAGCGACAGTGAAGGTTGAGGGCATGGTGTCCACCTCCCAGCCCCCTGTTGCTCGACAACCATCAGCTCCTTGCCGCCCCCCGCCCCGGGTGGGTACCCAGGACCACCTGTTTCTGGACCCTCTCAGCCTTCTCTTCCACCTGTGGCCACCTCTCCACGCCACAGACCTCACACAGGAAGGACCTGAGGGTGGGAACAAGGCCAGGGGGGTGAGGCCACCCAAACGAGGGGACAGCCGTGCCAGGAGCTGCACACACGCCTCCCTTCATCCTCACATACCACAAGGGAGAGAATACCCGAATCCCCGTTTCACAGATGGGGAAACAGAGGCATGATCCCATGATGGTTCCCAGCCACACAGCCTCTGGGTGACGAGGCCCCGGCCACCTGCAGCTGCCACATGTAGCGCCCACCTCCGGGTGGATGAACTGCGTCCCGCGTGTGATGTCCTCCCTGGTGAGGCGTGGGCAGGACAGTGCTCGTGGCCCTCAGCCCCCCCTCCCCCCACCACCCAGGGCCAGGCCGGGGAGCCGAGCCAAGTGAGTCCTCAGCTTGTCAGACTCTCTCTTGTCCACCCGGCTGCCTGGTTGAGGGATGTGGCATGGAGCCCACCTCGGCCGGGGGCCAGGCCTCTGGCTGCAGCCTCGCTCCCGCCTGCCTGCCTGCCCACACTCAAGTCCTGTCTACTTGTCCGATCTTGCAGCACCAGTGCCTCTGCCGGGCCTCACAGCCCCCAGGGAAGGGGCTCCACGGCCGCCTTGGGGGTCAGACCACCCTCATGCCCCCCCCACAGCCTTGGGGGTGCCTGCCCCCATCTGGACTGTGTGCCCTTCGAGCCTCAGCCAAGGGGACTCTTCCTCCAGGAAGCCCTCCTGAGCCCCCTCCCCCTCCCCCTCAGCCTCCTGTCCACACTCTGGGCTGCTGGACCTGGAGGAGTGGGCCTGCTCATCCTCCCCTCCTACATGTGGGGCCCCTCCCTGCTCCGTGGCTTCCCCGGCATCCACTGTGACCGTGGCCAAGGCCGGGCTCAGAGCTGTCTGAACCGTTGCAAATCCTCCCGTTATTAAAATGTTCCACTGGCCCCAGGAGAGACAGGTGAGGATGCACCTCCTGCCTGTGCCTGGCAGGTGGTCTGCTGGTGGCCAGAGGCTCCTTGAGCTGTCATTTCAGGTGGGAGAGTGGGGAGGGCGTGGTGGGGGTGTGTGGTCTGAGGAGGTCAGATGGCTGAATCTCTGCCCCTGGCATCTGAGTGACCTTGGGCCCATCATGGCTACCTGGGCCTCTCAGGGTGAGCTGCAGGCTGTGAAGCTGAGCAGAAGTGACAGGCTCCTGTCTCCCCATCTGGCAAATTCCAGGCTGGACCGCGAGTGAGCAGGGGCCTTGGGCCAGGGGCAAGCTGGGCTGGACCCAGCAGGAGGAGCCCTTCTCACCAGGCTCATCCACTACTGGTGCCCACAGGGGTCCCCAGGGACGGTGACATGGAATGGGTCAGAGCCGTTCCAGAGTGACCCTGCTGTAGGCCCTGTGTGGGGACAGGACCCCAGGCCTGGGGCAGGGGTGTGTGTCTCCTGGGCTGCTCTGCGTCCTGGTTATCCTGCACAGCTGGGGTCGGTGCTCTGCAGCCACCTCCGGGCTGTGCTGCAGGATGCCTGCTGGGAGCTCGGGGTGCGGGCCAGGCCAGCCTCTGGACCGTCCTCCAGGTGGGCCCTCTCCCTCCTAATCGTCCTTGTCACAGGGACGCCCTGATGGAGCTGTAACCCTGTTCCCCATCCCCTGCCGTAAGGCCCATCTGTGGCCCAGGTGAACTTGGCCCCGCCCTCCCCGTGTTCGGGTCCCAACCCCGGGGGCTCAGTTGAGGCAGAGTGCCCTCCATGGCCCCCAGCTGACTGAAGACCCACCCCCAGCTGCTAGGGACTCAGCTGACCCATCCAACTCTGAGTCCATAGAAGGGGGCACTGGGGTCAGAAGGTCCAGCCACGGGGCGCAGAGGGCACAAATCGGGGACCCTGGGCATGCCCCCGCCCTGCGAGGGGCTTCCGCCAAGATGCCGAGCCCTGTCCTCTCTGAGCTGCTCCCCCTGCTGGGTCCTGGGGCAAATGCTGGCGGCCTGTGTGCCAAGTCGGCCTGCTGCCTCCCAGCTGTGCTGCTGGGGCCACGGCTCAGTGTCCCCTCTGCACAGAGGGAGAGTAGCTGCCGGGCCCCCGAGGATGCTGGTGCAGGCCTGCCGGCGAGCTCTCAGGAAGGGGTGTCATTACCCCGCCATCCTCTCCCTCCTCATCTGCCTCCTCCTATCTCAGTTTTTCCAGAATGATCAGGCCCAGGCCTGGGAAGCGTTTGTTAAAGGGGCCGACCCCAAGGGAGGAGCATGCTGGGGGGTGCCCTCCAGAGCTGCCCTGGGAGGAGGGGAGTGTTGGGGCCTCAGGGCTTTGTTGACCCTACCGCAGCCTCTGAGCCACTGCCTGAATGCTGCTGGGGAGAAGGGTGCTGGGCAGTCCCGGCATGTCCTGAGACTCAATTTTCCCGACGCTAATGCAATTTGGAAACATAAATTTAATAAATCAATGCACCCGCCTCTGCGTCTTGACACGTGGCTGTACCCACCTGCCTGCACAGACCTTGCTCACCTCAGCTCCTGCAATGGGGGATTCACCCCAAGAGACCCTGCAAGGCTGGGTCGGGGAGGGGTGCTGTGTGGGGGTGGGAAGGGGCCAAGGGGGGCGCTTGTCACTCCCAGCACCGGGTACCAGGCCAGCCATTTCCTGGCCTCCACTCAGGCCATGCCCACAGCAGCTCCATGCAGAGGCCGGTGTAACTTCACTCCCCGAATGGAGAAACTGAGGCTCAGGGTGCAGGGGGGGTGGGCCTCCTGTCCAGCCACGTGGTAAAGCGCAGGGCCTGAGTCGTCCCAGAAGTCTTCATCCCATGAGCGCCACTCGCCTCTGGACTAAAGGCCGGAGGCCGTGGGATCTACTGCTGTCCAGGGTCAGGGCCAGGTTGGCCCAGAGCCCCGCCTTGGGGACCATGTCCTATCACAGGGAGAGTTAGACTGGGACCCCCACATGCGAAGAGGGCCCCCTGCTGGCCCACCCGCCACACCCCAGGGTCGTGCAATGTCAGGGAGTTCGGTTCCAGTCCCACGTGTTCTGGCTGGTTCCCTGGGTTGGACCCCAGGCAGGTCCATCCTGTTCTGGCCACAGGGGAAAGATGGTGTGTGAAGAGCAGGTTCAAAGTCAAAGGTGGACAGTGGTCCCTCCCGTGGTTCTCCCCCACCAGCAGGCCCTGTGTATCCACTGCCACTTGGGAAACTAAGCACAGAGAAGTTCAAGGTGGTTCCTCAGGCCATCAGCCCCGACGATGGGCTGAGTTGGAGGAGGTCTTGGGCTGCTGTCTCCAAAGCCTACATTTTTGAAACACCTACTGTGTGCCAGGTGGTACAAATGTCATCTGTCAAGTAAGGGGTGCCAGTGCCAAGGCTCAGGGCCCTGGGAGGAGGGCATGGGTGCCCAGGCCAAGGGCAAGCCCAGGCTGGTGCATCTGAGGTGCTCTGGGGGCTTGTGTGGCCCAAGTGGGGGATGGGGCAGCAGTGGGAGAGGTGGAGGGGTAGGGACCACGGGACTGTGCTGGGGGTGGGGTGTGTATGTCCTGTTACGAGGACTGGTGGGTCCATGGGATGGGTCAGAGTGCGAGGTGCCAGAGGTCATCCAGGCCACAGCGTTGCCGGCTGGGTTGACTCAGGAGAACCCCAGGAGCGCTGCCCTGCCAGCTGCACAGTATTTCACGGCCAATGGCTCCCTCTGCTGGCCATATTGGGCATCGCCCTGACACTTAGGCTCCCAGCCCAGGATGGGGAACTTAGAGATGTTCACCCCTCCCCGCGGACCAGGAGACACACACCAGGCTCTGGGTGGCCTTGAGGACACTGTTCCCAGGACAGGACCTACCTACATTGTGGGGAAGATTTGGGCATCTGATTCAAGGTACCCACTGGAGGCTGAATTCAACTCCCCATCAGAGACACCTGTGTGCCCAGGGGTACAGCCCCACTGGAACCAGTAAGACATAGGAGACAAGAGCCTGGCCTCGGGTGTGGTCCAGATGCAGTTCCTCCAGGCAGGTGCCAGACGTGGCCAGGACAGGTGGGGCTGGGGCCTGCCTGGCCCTTTAAGAGGGCCGCGGGGGCGGGGGGGGGCGGATCCCTGTTGCCTAGCAACAGGAGGGCTTGGTGGGTACCTGTCTACGAAACCAGAAGCCATGTCCTGCTTGGGGACAGAGTGGCTGGAGCTGCCCTGCTGACCGTGCTGAGTGGCCCTCCTCCCTCTCCCCGCCCCCACCCCGTGCCCGGGCACACCATGGCGCAGACAGATATACTTCTGACCAAGGAGCCCGCCCCGCAAACGGTGCCAGCATGCCAGCTGCCCCGCAAGCTGTACGATGTGGCCCGAAACACAGGCGCCCACATGTCCTCGGGCCTGGCCACCGCTGGCTTCCGCACGGCCAAATACCTGGTGGATGAGTGGTTCCAGAACTGCTATGCCCGCTACCACCAGGCCTTTGCCGACCTCGACCAGTCGGAGCGGCAGCACCACGAGAGCCAGCAGCTGGTGGCCGAGACTGAGGCGCTGGCGCAGCGCACGCAGCAGGACTCCACGAAGAAGGTGGGCCAGCGCCTGAAGGACATGCACTGCTGGAAGTCGGAGCTGCAGCGCCAGGTGGAAGAGCTGGTCGCAGAGACTGACCTGCTGCTGGCCCAGAAGCAGCGGCTGGAGCGCACCCTGGATGCCACGGCCGTGCCCTTCTCCATAGCCACCGACAACCTGCAGTGCCGGGAGCGCCGCCAGCACCCCGACCTTGTGCGTGACTGCGTGGAGATGGAGCTGCTGAAGGTTCGGCCCCTCCCAGCCCCCAGAATTGCAGACCGGGCCGCCCCACCTCTCCCCAGGGAGCATGACCTTCCCTGGGCTGAGAGTGGGCACCCGTGTGCCCCCACGACACGGCTGGCAGATGCCTTGGTGCCCATGTACCACGTGGCTGCACACAGGCACAGGGAGCCTGCTCCCCTCAGCACATGCAGGGACACACAAGCACATGCCCAGGCGCAGAGAAGGTGGCTCTGCTTGTAGGTGGGGGACCAGAACCGACTGGGGCCGTCCCGGCTGGGGGCAGGGGCAGGGCTCAGACTGCCCAGGGGGAGGTGCCATCCCTGGCCCCAGGAGGGTGCTGGGTCTGGCCTTCCCACAGTCTGGTCCTTATAGTGGGTGCTGGGCAAGGCCTTGCTCCCTGCAAGGTGGGCCCAGCCAGGACATGCTGGGTTGGGTGCACTGTGGCCTGGGGGCAGGTCCCAGCATGGGGGTTGAGCATGGTTGGGGGTGGGGCTGGACTTTGGTGCTTATCCACTCACCTTAGCTCCGGGTCCAGGGTTCCTGCTCTGCCCCCTGCCCCATTATGGCTCCCACGTGGGGGTGAGGCAGGGCCCAGGCCATGGCAGCATTCATACCTGGAATGTATATTGGGACGATTGTCTGAGGCTGAGACAGTCAGAGGCCACTAAGGCAGGGAGGGACCTGGCCAGTACCCCATAAGCCCTGATGCCCCTCCACACACCCCCGAAAACCAGGAAGGGCCTGAGCTGAGCCCCAGGAGTGGCTGAGGTTGGGATGTGGTTGGGTCATGGTGGTGCCTGCACCCACTGTGTGGTCCCTCAGTCACCCCTGGGTCCTGGCACCTGCTGAACAGCCCCTTTGGTCACCCTGGGTCATGCAAATTAAGCCTGACCCTGAGTTCCCAGAGGCAGAGCCCCCCATGCCCCGCCCCCCATGCCCGTGTTGGAAATCCAGCCTCAGACCAGTGTGCAAGCGTGGACGGGGGGGTGGGGGCCACATGCATCCCACAAAGAGCCCTTTCCCCTCCGAACCTGGCAGGACCTGTCCTTGGGGAAGCCCCCAAAGGATCAGGGAGTCACCCAGGCCAGGCCCCTGATGCTGGCAGGGAAGAGCCTCACCTGCGAACAGGCTGTAGGCCACAGGCACTCATGAGATATGGGGGAGACAGACAGCCAGCCCAGGTGCCCAGGGACCCCCTGCAAACCCCAAGCTCAGGACAGAACCTTGAGTACCTACCTCCTCCTGGCCCCAGGCCCTTCCTCTGTCCCCCCAATACCCCACCCGCACACTCATTCACTCAAGAACCTCCCAAGGCTCTGGGAGTGAACCCTCTGCCCTGGGCCAGGTCCCCTGCCCAGCAGTACATGGACAACAAAGGGGCCAGGACAGGGAGATGGACCCATGGGTCAGAACTGGGCACGCAGGGTTTAGAGCCCAACAGAGGAGAAATTCAAATCAGGGGGTAAGAGTTTTTCCTGCCCAGAAAGTGAAACTGTCAGGGTAGCAGGAGGAAACACAGGGTTTCCCCTTGTGTCCTTTGTCTGGGTAAGGCCTCTCTGAGCCCAAGGCCCCAAGGGGCAGCCCCAGGGGGGCTCCTGGTCCGCAGTGGCCGGGGTCCTCAAAGGCTGTCACCAGGCTGTCCAGGGGCCAGTGGGCAGGCTGGTGCCCTCAGTGTCTTGGGCAGGCTGCAGGGGTGGCCCCAGAGCCCAGGGGGTGCTAAGTGCCCAGCAAGTGGGAACCACTTCTGGGTGGTCCTCCCCACAGCCCATAGAAGCCCCCAGAAGAAAAGACCCACTGCACCACCCCAAACAGCCCAGAATAAATCCGGCGAGAAAGCCAGGCTCATGTCCCATTTCCAGGAAAGAAGCTGGGGCCCAAGGCCACCAGCAGAGGTCAGGTGCTGGCAGAGCCCCCAGTTCCACTAGGGGTCACCCCAAATCTCAGCTCCTCCTAGAGGTTTGAGAGGCTGCCTGTGGGCCCCACCAGCCTGGCTGTCCTCAGACTCTCACCAGGGACGGGGGTATTCTTCCCCAGGAGGCAGACCTCATCCGGAACATTCAGGAGCTCCTGAAAAGGACCATGATGCAGGTCGTGAACCAGATTCGGTGGGTCTGAGTGGCCTCTAGGGCTGCCCTCGGGATGTCCCCCTACCCCTCAGGCTAGCTATGGGCAGGAAGTTGGGGTGACCCGGCCCTGAGGCTCAGAGAAGTGAGGGATTGTCCCCAGTCATAGCCAGAAGCAAGGGGCTGGGTGGAGGCACTGGGCAGGTAGGGGTGGCAGATTGCTGCATGGCCAAGGGGCCTGGGCATCCAGAACCCAGGCCAGCATCCCAGGGCCTACCCTGCCACTTGGGGGGCTTATCCTGCCCTGCGCCCAGGTGGGCCCAGCTCCCCACCCGCACAGACAGCAGGCCCTGCCCGCTCTCCCCAGGATGAATCGCGAGCACAAGGAAACGTGCGAGATGGACTGGTCCGACAAAGTGGAGGCCTGCAACATCGACGAAGCCTGCTGCCACTACCACAACCAGAGCTCCGACTTGCAGTTCTACCCGCACTCCACCAAGTTCGAGGAGAGGTGGGATCTTCCGCAGGGGCTGTGCACAAACGCCCCGCCCCCACCTGCGAGATCCCACCTGGGCTCCTAGTTCCTCCGCTGGGGGTCCTTTGTGCAGCTCTTCTGCTCCTGGGGATGGGCAGGCGAGCGGGACCTCCGCCCAAGTGCCCAGCACACACGGTTCACCACAGGGGCTGGGGTTTGCGAGGGAGGCAGGACCCAGGGTGGGGGGCCGCCTGAGGCAGGGCGGCTGACTGCAGCTCCGCATAAGGCCGGCAGCGGGCGCTGGGCCACCACCCATCGCAACACAGCCCCGGGGTGGCGCAGGGCCCAGGGACGTAGGAGGCACTGGGGCGCGGTAACCACTTGGGGGCGCAGGAGGCACGGAAGACACGGAGTGGGGAACTGGGGTCGCGGGGCAAGCGGGGCGGAGCTGGGGGAGCAGGAGGCCCGGGGAGCGCGCGGGGAGACGCTCCGGGTGGCGCGGGGGGCGGGACGGGGAGTGGCGCTAGGACTGGGGGTGGTAGTTTATGCTGCGACGCAGGGTACACTGGGCGCGGCGGGCGCGGGGAGGCCCTGGTGCAAACCGGAGCCATTGGCAGGTGCCCCCACCGACCGCGGTGCCCGCGCACTCCCTGCCCGCAGTGCCTCCACGCCCGAGACCTGGGCCAAGTTCACCCAGGAAAACCTGTACCGCGCCGAGCGCGAACGCCTGGCCTCAGTCAACCTGCGGAAGCTTGTCGACTGCATCCTGCAGGACGCATCCGAGGACTTGCGGCTGCAGTGCGACGCCGTGAACCTGGCCTTCGGGCGGCGCTGTGAGGAGCTGGAGGACGCGCGCCACAAGCTGGAGCACTACCTGCGCAAGGTGGGGCCGCCCGGCCACGCCCACCCCACGTCAGACCACGCCCATCCCGCTGCCAGGCCACGCCCAGCCCGCCGCCAGGCCACGCCCAGCCCACGACCTGACCTCGCCCAGGGCAGCCTCTAGGGCTGGACACCCCCTGGTAACGTAACCACAGAGAAAGACCAGGCCCAGACTGGGTAACCCAGACCACTCCTCCCCCACTGGCCACTATGCCTTTGGCACGACCTGGCCTGGCTCCTGCCCCTCCTTGGCCCTGCCCATCCTGAGGGACCCCTGAAGCAGGGCCCTCACTCCTCCCTGGGCCCTCATTAAGCTGATGAGAAACCAAGTGACATTTGGGGGGGGTGGCATTGTCACTGGAGTGACTGACCAGCGGGTGATGCAAGCAGGAGCAAGGAGGGTGGAAGGAGGTAGGGCCTGGCTGCCTAGTGGGGTGTCCCTGGTGCTGGCCCCTGGCCTGGCAGGGCTCTGACCCTAAGCTCTCAGGGTGACTTTTGCTGCCTTTGTCTCTCCAGCTCCCGACCAGGGTCGGGGGCTGGTGACCACAGGGCTGGGGGCTCTCAGGCCAGAGCTGCTGTGCCACAAGCTTTGCTGTCCTCACCGCCCCCAGGCCTCTGGGTGCCCATGGGAGGGATGAGGTGGCCGTGCACATCCTCCCTGCCTCCACTCCTCCCCCAGAGCCAGCGGACAGAGCCGCCTGCTCGACGTGGCACAGGGCTTGGGGTGTGGTGGGGGAGACCCACAGGGACTGTCCTGTGTGCAGACACTGCGGGAGATCGTGGACCAGGAGCACAATGTCGCAGCGCTGAAGCAGGCCATCAGGGACAAGGAGGCGCCTCTGAAAGTGGCCCAGACCCGCCTGTACCAGCGTTCCCACCGGCCCAACATGGAGCTGTGCCGAGACGCTGTCCAGTTCAGGTGCCTGTCGCTGCTGGGGCCATCCTGGGCTGGGCCTGGTCACCAACCACCATAGGGTGCCGTCCACCCACCTCCGGGCTTTCCTCAGCCTCTGGGGCCCCCTTGAACTCCTCCCCCCACCCCCACACACAGCTCTGCAGATGTGAAGAGGAAAGACATTGGGCCCTACACAAGCACAACACACACACACACACACACACACACACACACACACACACACACACA